ATAGATAGATGTATACACATAGAGTCTACGTTTATTGGTATCTCTTTTCTTCTGTCTTCTTTTCTTGTTGTGTGTGTGTGTGTGTGTGTGTGTGTGTGTGTGTGTGTGTGAGTGAGTGAGTGAGTGAGTGAGTGAGTGAATGAGTGTGTTGCTCCGGAGTAAAATATTACTCCGGAGTAAAGATCGCTCCGTTTCGGAGTAAGAAAATACTCCGTTTTGGGGTAAAGTATTACTCCGGAGTAAGTGTATTTGTAGCATGATGGTGCATATTTGTCAGACTCTGCATACATAAACATAATACGTACATACACTTACTCAGGAAACTTCACACATAACACATATAACATTTGCATGTATATTGATATTGTGTATAATGACTTGGAAAGTATCGTGGTATATGTCATGTGCACATAAACCTCGCCTCATTTCTCCCTTGCCCAAGAAAGAGAAAGGAAGCATGTCTTTCGTCTGCGAAATGTGTGACAAAGAGTTTGCTCGTAAGTTTAACCTTGATCGTCATCAGGAAAGAAAACACCGCGACGAGTCAGCTGTTGCCTCGGGGGAAGTCGTCGTAGATCCCGAGACAGGATCTTACCGAAAGCGCGATGTTTTTGACAACGACTCCGACATATCGTATGAACATGACACTGACGCGCTTGATTCATCGGGCGATGAGGAAGACGAAGAGGACGAGGAACCGACCGTGTCACAAGATGAAGTAACCGTCTCAGAAGAAGATGAATCTGTGGTGGACTCTGAGGAGGCAGAGTCAGTGACAGAAACCGACAGCGATGAAAGTGGTTCTGAGAGTGATGCAGGCTCGGACGTTTCTTCCAGCACGGCTTCTTATGATGAAAGTGAAGAGTACGGCTACGACAGCGGTGACGAGGAAGAGTGGACGCTCTATCGAGACTGGTCCATTCCACTCAAGCACGAACCAGGCGATGTCCCTCAACGCGTGATCAAAGAGACAAAACGCGCTGGCAAAAAGTTTTATCTTGTAGAGTTTGCTGCCATGCCTCGTTACGGTTACAACATCGAGTACAGCAAGAACTGGGTCCCAGAGCAGACATTGATGAAAAAATACGGCTACCTCGTTCTGAAATAATACAGCATCGTCCTTCTACCGATAGGACGACTATTCCTAATGTAACAATGATACCTACATGACAAGACGTACGCTGTCTTGCGAGTATTTTTCGGAACAGTCTTGACCTATAAGTGATCAATAAAGTGTGACGAACCCTACTGCCTTTTACGTCGTTGTGTCGATGTATGCACGCATGAGACACAAACATACGTGACATGGATATGAACCACTAGTTCACTTACTCCGGAGTAATCATTTACTCCGACGCATATACGATATATCTACACATCATGCATGTGAGGATACACGATACGGACAACCATGACAAATATATTTAACTTACTACAAAAATACTTACTCCGGAGTAATATTTTACTCCGGAGCAACACGTTTATATCGATATATATATATATATATATATATATATATATATATATATATATATATATATGCACACACAGACACGCCCACTCCGACGGTTATGTATATGCATATACGATATATCTACACGTCATGCATGTGAGGATACACGATACGGACAACTACGACAAATATACTTAACTTGCTACAAAAGTACTTACTCCGGAGTAATTTTTTTCTCCAAAACGGAGGAATAGTTACTCCGGAGTAATAACTTACTCCAAAAATACTTACTCCTGAGTAATATTTTACTCCGGAGCAACACGTTTATATC